GGTGATTTCTACATGCAAAGACCATGAAGCCAGAAACTATCAATAATAATTTAAAAAAAAAAAATATTAATAAATAACAGAGAAAACAGTGATGAGAGTAGGCGGACTGGTAGCCAATAGGCTACAAATACGAGTGTTGTAAAAACGAATTGACTAGAAATGGAATCCCGAGTTGTAAAAATTCAATGACTTAGTAAGCATATTAACACGCTGTGCTGTGATTTTTAAGTCACCCAAAAATGTTTTATGTGACATCGTTTAAAAACTGGTGAAAACTCCTTATGGGAGGAAAGGATTACTTCTCTTCAATAATAAGAAATGCTAAACCTTTTTGTACCCGGTGTTGATGCTCTCCCATGTAAGTAATTGTTAATTGCATACACAACAGTTAGCAGTTTATAACAACAGGAAAGAAGACAATCGTGTTATCAAAGAAATAAACGTGTTTTTGTTTTCTTGAATAAAAATAGACGTGGAATCCGGTTTAAGTAACAAATCTGAAATCTTTTTGACTAAAAAGTTGAATTTTGTAACATAATATCAGTTGTTTTTTTTTTTTTTTTTAATTTCCTGTCAAATGTGGAGGAATGTAAACTCATTTCAAAGTGAAACAATTGATCTAACTGAGGGAATGTTTTACTTAAATCAAGTAATGTATTTTCTTTTAACATCTGAGGAATGTTAAATCTTTAAAACATAAGACTTGAGAAAAATATTTGTTAACAGTGATAAATGTTAAATGCTTTTAACATGAAAACAGGAAACTGTTTTTTTTTTTTTCCACTCATAACAGAGGAGCTGTTAAACATTTTTATTGCAGTGAATTTTTTTTTTTTTTTTTCAAGCATAAAGGAATGTTAAATCGCTTCATATCCATTAAAAAGAGAGAGAAAAAAACATTTCTCTAACAGATAGGAATGTTGCAATTTTTAAACAGGAAATACTGTGCAGAGCACCAACGCCCCTCGGTGCACAACGAGCCTCGGTGCACAACGAGCCTCGGTGCACAACGAGCCATCCTAATGCGCACAACCACAAAGGAATAATTGCAATACCCGTTTGATTTAGGCGCGCTGGTAAAAATTCTGCTCTACATTAATTAATGTCGTCTGATCTTGCTTAGTCACTTAAGCAAACCGACATCTGTTGTGTTCTGTTGTCGCTGGATGATGCGGCTTCTTGTGGCTTATTTTTTTTTAGCCAGTTGGGTTTAAAGTACATTAGTCATTAAATTTATTAAATTATTTTATGTAAAATACGCTGAAGTCATGCTGGGTGTCCGCCTACTTGACGTTTACAATCAAATGACGCACCGCACAAAGAAACGTTTGTTATCTGGTTAGCTTCCGGCGTTTTATCGCAACTTTATTCAGATCAGATCCATTGCCGTCTTCGTAACGAAGATATGCCGTAGTTTGATCTCTAGCTGTGATATCGTCATGTACTTACCGGCTGGCGTAGGAGGGGGTGTCTCTGCACAGAGCTCGGCTCTCTTGGTGCTCTGGATTACATTTATTGAAGATATTTGTTTCACGCCACCATCTTAGACCATCTATAATTATATAGGCTATATCCCCATCCTTGTGGGGTCTGGGATGATCCCATTGGGGTGGACAGGGGGAGGTAGTAGAATCAAGGCAAATATCAACGACAGAGGTGAAGTGTTTTTTTTTTTTATTGCAGACGCGGACGAAGAATTTATGCTATAGTGTCCCGTTACATTATTATAGAGATCTGCTATATTATTATAGTTTCCTTTTCGCTCAATATCGTGATCAGTGAGACTGCCAAGGTGTCCCGATAGTGATCACCTGCGTGGTCTCGAGCCATGGCGTCTGCCTCAAGTGCTGGAGGTCCCGGGTTCAAGCCTCGGTGAAGGCTGGGAATTGTTCACGTGACTTCTAGTAATTTCCTCTGGTCTCTAGATAGTAGGATTGGACGCCCGTGTGTATTGTTGCCCACGCAGAAAATCCTTTGGCAGTAGGAAATCGAAAATATTAGCCTAACAGCGCTCCCCGGGAAAAATTTGGAGTTAAAAATCTACCCAAAGTATTTCAGGATTCTCGCGGTGCTAGTACGAAAGATTATTGTCTGAAATGGCTGAAGGTAAGACTGGTCTGCGTTTGTACCCCTTTGAAAATAAATCGTTCCTTTATTCGTTCTGTTGTCCTTGACTATAAATTACACACAAAAATACACATGGACTCAATAATAAACACAGCGAAAAACAATAAAGTGAGTGAAATATTGCACATAAATGTGATGTCGTGGATACATAAGTGACTAAAACAACCTCCATAACGGTTCCGCAGCTGGACGCTGTTTGAAAAGCATTTGTAAAGATAAAAATAAAAAAAAAATGAGCCGAAGAAACACATGCACAATTGAGCATTATTATTTCATTTGATTTCCAATGTTCGATCTACCATAGCTATCTTACATGTAAAAACATTATAATTTCTAACAACAAAATAGGCACTTCTCCAAATAACGGCCCCAAATTATCTAGGTCAAAAAACCTACCTTAAGGGCCTCAATAGTTTCTTCCGTTTGAGTTGCATCCATAACTCTTCCCTTGTTTGGGAGTTAGGGTATGGTTAACGATAACCCTAACACCGCCACGAGAATCTGTCACAACAGTCTAACAACCGGTAGAACATTATTGCTTATCTGTGTCGGAGTTGATGGGGTGCCTGCCGTACTTGCCGGAAATAAATCCCTAATTTTACATATCACTGAGGCCCTGTAAGGGAACGATTTTGAGCTAGATAATTTGGGGCCGTTATTCGGGTGAGTGCCAAAAATTAAATTCACCGTTAGATGATGATGACGTTCGTGGGTGTGAGTCCGCATTTCGGCCGGACTTTTTCCAAACTGACCTTGGCCTCCAGATCGACCCAGCTTAAAGTCCTGGGACGCTAAAGCAGCCAGCGTGATGTTGATCCTATCAGCCACCGAGTGCTGATTGGTCTATAAAATATAGGTCTAACCCTATATACCCAATACACTCATGGGCGAGGAAATAGGACCTTTATGTGCTGTATTTATGTGATTATCTCAGTCGATACTAATAAACTCCTCATACGTTTATCGGTTATTGATATATTATTGTTTGCTGGTACTTTAATGTCTTTGAAGACAAATAGTAACATAAATGTGCTATAGGATGGCATGGAAACCCCAGACCTTGGCAAAGGAGGCGGGAGTAAGGAGCGGTCTCTGGGGCACAGTGGGTAACCATTTGTCTAGCTCTTTGAAAATCATAGGTTCGTTTCACCGACTGAGTCATTCGGTTCACAAGTGTATGTTTTACACAGATATCCCCTGCAATAGCCACTGGAAGTGAATTCCGTCCTTTCGACTAATCATATTTTATTTAATTTACACAGTTCTGCTTGTAGTAAACGAACACACAAATTGGCAAGTCACAGGAAACTTTTTTTTTTCAACTTCAAAGAATGACAATATTAAAAAATGTGTCCTATCCAGTTTGTATACAATTAATGTATTATAATATTTATATTTAGTGCATTATATGATACTTCTATGACATTTATTACATGAAATAAATAAAACAAACACCAAATACGGCCCAATAGTCGGAAAAACACGTATACACACTATTTCAAGCTGAGCACAAGGCTAGACTAATATTTAAAACATCCTACGAAACGTTAGCCTTGCAATTATTAATAATGAGTACACGATAATAATGAAACCGTGAAGGTCATTATTTGCCTAGCTATATGTTTTCCCAAAACGCTGAATAAAAGGCTACTTCCTCTATCGTGTGGTTACAGGCCAGATAAAGCGCGCGTTAAGGGGGAAAGTGGTAAGCCAACTAAATTGTCGTTACAATCTGTACAATCTGGCATGTTTATACTGGGACATGATTTCTTGGCAATATATAAACGGCGATTTCCCACTTTTAATTAGTTGATTCCTAATCGGGATTTCAAGGACAACCGCCATTGCTTTATTCACTAAAATTAAAACAATGGCTGGTCCTTTGTCTCAGCACATGAGTTGAAAATAATTGTGAGGTTCCTTATACACTAAAACGCACACATTTCAGTTATGTAATCGTTTAAGCTGCCAAATGTAATTATTTTGTGGCATCCTTTCTGAGAATAGCCTGGCTAGGATGGGCGCGGGTTTGGCCTCGCATCTGTCAGCGGGTGAGTATAAAACCGCACACAAACAAACTTTGTTGGCTGAATGTGGCTGAGTCACCACACAGGAGTCAAAATAAATAAGGCTATAGATGGACTGTCTGTAAACAGACTTTACTGGCATAACCCGATCAGTATGTGTGGCAAAGAAAGAAATATAAAAAGGTCATATTTGTCACAAAGTTGAACATAAGAAAAACGCCACAGACCACGATTATAACCAAGATTTACTAAGAAATTAGTTGAACGTGGTCATTCCGCCCCCCCCCCCCCCCCCCATTAAACGGACGAAGGATTGTGTGTCTCCGTGCAGAAACCTATTATGTGACTCTCATGACGCAATATATTGATTAGAAATTTAAACCACTCGCCGTCTGCACAAAGGATATTGGGGTGCAATAGATATGTGGGCACGTGTTGTCTATGGAAATATTACGTAGCGAAGTCCATATATCTTCTACACTGTGATTCATAGACAACTTCCAGAAAGTCATAGCAATTTTTTTTTAAAATAACATCCTCTGCAGGAAATGTTTTTTTGTTTTTGTTTTTGTTATTGTGAGATATTAATTGTTAAATAGGTACACATAACGTGAGAAACCCGAGAGGATTTAAATAGCATTTGAGAGATGCTCTAATAAGCACATCATACATTTCATAAACCCCCATTGTCTTATATCATTTTCCCGTTTATATAAATGTATTTAAATTAAAAGAAATATAATTAATGCTTCAAAAACGTTCACCAAGAGATTGTGTCCAATCTGGCACAATTCATTTACACACACAGCGTCTCACCACAGGTAATAGAAACAATGTCTAAATGGTTTATTGGTCTCCTAACTGTTCCATCCAGTTTGGAGATTTGAAGAAGTCTGGCAAAGTCTCGTCCATTCTGGCGATGATCTTGTAGATGGCTTTCTTCCACGAGGGTTCGGTGTCTCTGTTGGCTTGTACGGATTTGAAGAACTCTCTCAGTGCTGCCTGAACTGCGGCTAGGAAGTTGTGGGGCACCTGAAATAATAGGAGGTTGAGACTGAAACACGATCGTAAAAGAGACACAGAGACATGAAGAGAGACAGGAGGATAGACAGAGAGGAGAGAAACAGAGAGATGCATAGTCAGTAAAAGAGACAATGATTGGAAACAGAGCCATAGGGAGCGACACTGAGACAGAGAAGAGCGGAGATAGGTAAGAACATAAGTACAGAGGGTTTGAGAAAAGGGAAGGGGGTGGGGGTTAAGAAAGACGAAGAGAGGCGACAGAGAGAGAGAGAGAGAGAGAGAGAGAGAGAGAGAGAGAGAGAGATGCAGCATGAGAGGTATGCACAATAGGGAGGTGTAAGTGATGTAGAGGCTTGTGATCGTTGAAAGAGAGACAGAGGTAAACAGAGTCATACAAGTTATATATATATATACATACACACACAAGCATTTACACACACACTCACACACACACACACGTGCCATATTATTATACGAAAATAAAGAAACCGAAATGCAAGTGAGACGACCTAAGTTGACAATCAAGAACAAGAAAGAGATCATCTCTCAGAAACCTCCGATCAAAATCAATAATGACTACTTTCCAGAAAGTCCTACCAGCGAGGAACCAACAAGACACGTTCATTGATTGCACGGAGGCTCTCAGAAGTCACTACAGGCGGAAGGAAGAGCGTCGCCGGGCACGAGGACAAACCCCACAAGTTGAACAACTCCCAGAGCGCTCACAGACGCGTGGGTCGGCAGGCCGGGAATTCTTACAGGTTTCCTCAAACTTCTTCATCGATTAGCTGTTTCTTCCCCCACGCTACATCAGCTGTGTGTGCCAAGGAATCTGGCGAAATGAACGTATTACGCTAAGGAATCTTGTACGTTGGCGTCTTCATCGATTGGTCCGTCCGTAGTTGGAAGGAAGAGATGTTGGGTGTGGAGATGAGCGTCTGGCAAATCACGGCTGTTTGTTTTTCTTATTGGTGAAGATTAATAACGTTTTAAAGTTGCCAATTTTAAATATTATTATTAATATTATTATTTTATTTATTATTATTATTATTATTATTATTTAAATTTTTTTTCGCTTTTCATAATTATTTTGTATATTTTGCAATTTGAGATTTTTACTCTCCTGTATTCGGGGATAAAAGAGGGGGCGGGGGGAGGGGGGGGGGGGGGTTGTTCGAGGCATCGTGTCCGCCTCGAGTCCTAGAGGTTCCTGGTTCAATGCGGGTGCATTGTTTCGCACGTTAAAAAAATCCTTTGGCAGTTGAAAATCGAAAAGCGTAGCCAAAGGGTGCTGCTCGGGAAAAAAAATTTAAATTTAAAATCTACCCGAAGTATTTCAGGATCCTCGCCGGTGCTACAGAGCCTGTGTACTGTGCTGAGATTCTTCGGACTCAGACTTGGGTTGGAAGAAGAAATGATCACTTATGGATTACTACCCGTGTGCTATAATGTTGATTCGTTGTTCACATCCTCAGACCTCAAACTGATCTGTATTTTGAGAATTTCTAATCCATGAATTTTTGTGTGGTTTACATATCGCTATCATCACGAAGCAGGTCTTTTGCAGAACGTCGCTCCTATCACGATCTGTTTGAAAGAAACCTCGGTCTCTTCCCAGCTCTCCTGTCTCCTGCACATTACTGCCCGATGTGCCATTTGTATCTTGAGGCTATCTTTCTACTTTCTACTACCTCTTTTCTGATACCATGGCTTCACTATTATTTCTTCGAATCCACCGTGGTACTTAATTTGGTCCAAATATTTCAGTTTGCCAGATAAGATGCTGTCTTCTAGCCATTCGTTCTTGATGTTCAGATATTTTAGAATATCAGTATTTCTTGTTATCTTGGTCAATAGTATTCTAAAAACCTATCATCTTTTAGAATGTCAGTAATTCTTTTTATCTTGCTCCATAGTATTCTGAGAATCTATGATTTTTTAGAATGTCAGTATTTCTTTTTATCTTGCTCCATAGTATTCTGAGACTCTATGATCTTTTAGAATGTCAGTATTTCTTTTTATCTTGCTCCATAGTATTTTGAGAATCTATGATCTTTTAGAATGTCAGTATTTCTTTTCATCTTGCACCATAGTATTCTGAGAATCTACCATCTTTTAGAATGTCAGTATTTCTTTTTATCTTGCTCCATAGTATTTTAAGAATCTATGATCTTTTAGAATGTCAGTATTTCTTTTTATCTTGCTCCATAGTATTTTGAGAATCTATGATCTTTTAGAATGTCAGTATTTCTTTTTATCTTGCTCCATAGTATTTTGAGAATTTATGATCTTTTAGAATGTCAGTATTTCTTTTTATCTTGCTCCATAGTATTTTGAGAATCTATGATCTTTTAGAATGTCAGTATTTCTTTTCATCTTGCACCATAGTATTCTGAGAATCTACCATCTTTTAGAATGTCAGTATTTCTTTTTATCTTGCTCCATAGTATTTTAAGAATCTATGATCTTTTAGAATGTCAGTATTTCTTTTTATCTTGCTCCATAGTATTTTGAGAATCTATGATCTTTTAGAATGTCAGTATTTCTTTTTATCTTGCTCCATAGTATTTTGAGAATCTATGATCTTTTAGAATGTCAGTATTTCTTTTTATCTTGCTCCATAGTATTCTGAGAATCTACAATCTTTTAGAATGTCGTTTCTCGTTATCTTGCTCCAAATTATTGTGAGAATCTATCTATAGCTATTCAGCTCATAGGCCGATATTTTCTTCCTGAATGACGGTCAGACGGTCCACGGCTTGCATGTTTCCCATATCGTCATCGTGGTCATCATCCCGTTAGACCTGTCCGGTCAGTCACATTTTGTATCCAGTTCTTTCTTGGTGTACCTCTTCTCCTTTTCCCTTCTACGGAGCCCATGCAGTACTGTATTTGAGAGGCCGTGGATCTTATACATGAACATTGAAAAAGTTAGTTGCGTCTCCTTTACAGGACGTTGCAGAACCAACCCCAAAATTTTTGGCTGCTGTATGGTTTTTTATACAAATTAATTGTATGTACAGTAGTTTGCCATTGCTTCTAAACGGTCAGCTCTCGGTAACACTGTCATAATCATCGCAATGCAAACGGTCCGCAGTTGGGATCGAACCCGGCACCCAGGCATTACGAAGCGCGGTGTGTACTAGCATATATTTAGACCCCTTGTTATGAGTACCGGCACCTTCTTTCCTAGAGAAAGAATAAAATGCGGCTATTCTTAATTTCTTCCTCTATTTATTACTTCCTCTTGGCAACTGTTTTTCCTTTTTTTTTCCTTATGTAATAATATTGCACTCTAGTTAAAATTAAATTATGCTGGTTATTCTAATCTGCACAGTTTGCGTCTGTTTGTGTGCAGCTATTTGTGCTAATGTGGCCTGACACATCTATGACAGCCGGACATAAAATGCCTCCACTTTATGCAAGCGGCCGGTAGGAGGTCCATTACCGTAGAGTCTAGAGAGATTGCTGAATATTTCTGCTCGCTTCTTATTTGATCAACAGCGCCCAGTTGTTATCTGTTATCGAAAGCTACTCCACTGAACTCTGGAGAGGGCCACTGGTGCTTAGTCTTCTTCTCAGGAGTCGCGGTGAGTTACAGTATGTTGTCCGCAGTTTGTCCTCTGAGCATCTGTCTTGGTTGTTATTTTATGTTTCTCTTATTATTATTAAGCACATAACAAGATCCGTCCACCCCTCCACCCACCCACTCATATTTTCTTTTTGTCAGCGCCCGAGAGTTTGCACACAGCTAGATACAGTACAATATTAGGTAATTTATTGAATTCGATGAAGCTAATATAGTTTTTTGAAGGGGGTGGGCAAAAAGGGGGGGGGGCAGGGGAAGACTTGGTTTAATGTCTTGCGGGTGATTGAGCAAATGTTTAAAATAATATTATTTTAGACCACAAGCAGTCGATGGGTAATACTGCATCGACCGACTTTACTTCCTGGGGTATCAAGATACCTATTAATATTTAGTCGATTTAAAAGGAGAAACGTTTTTTTTTTTTTTTTTTTTTTTTTTGGTCAGTTTCAATGGGGATTTGAATCCCTGACCGCAGGACCGATAGACAGTCGGGCTAGTCAAAGCGGAAACGCAACTCCCAGTTCAATAATGTAATATCTATCTAGCGCATTCCAGCCATCGCAATGTCTCATTCACATTTGCCAGAATTAATTTCCTCAAAGACCTGTCCACTTGTATTTTCTTATAGCTATACACCGAACTGACCCTCTCAATAGATACCTCCTCTGTGGTCGGAGCCTCTAGCATTCCTCCTACCTTTGTCCTGCTGTTCCTAATACAAGCAGACAACATTTGTAGCACGTGTCGACGACGCACAGTTAATCTAATTATTCTTGTACGGAATCGGAAATCGCTTCTTCGGAAAAAAGATGGGCTCTTTTCATAATTGGATAACGGCGATTGTCTGCTCTTGCAGCTCAAAGACGTCCCACCAGCCTGGCGTCGTGGGGATCCATCTCTGATCTGCACGCACATCGGCCACATCAGATCTCTCCGGAAGAAATTAGCGGCCAGGGAAACGAGCGGGGAATCGTTTAAGGGTAGATCAACATTCTTCATCGACAGGCGCATTCATTGCAGCGCCAGTAGGCCCCCGATAAAAACCACGCGACCCCCTCTTCTCATCAGCTAAGTGAAGACATGCGAGCCATAACTCAATCGACCCATTTCGAGATGGATTGTTTCTTGGAGAGGAGGTGGGGTAGGAGGGGTGAGGGGGGGGGGGGGAGCCAGAAGCGTCTAATCTTTATAAATTATTCAATTTGTTTAGCGTGCTCTCATGGCGGGCTACTGAGAAGAACAGCCATAGTGGAGACGACAATTTGGCTATCAGTCGCCATCAGTATTTCTGCGCCGCTTGGATGTTTGTCTATCACAAAAAGAACACTAATTGTCTGAATCACTTACAATTCCCTCTCCTACTACTGTTCCCCCCCCCCCTTCTTTTTTCTTTCACTCTCTCTCACACCCCCTCCCTCTAGTCTCCTGGCATTTTGCTTTCTGTACTCATTGGCGCCTCTTGCAGTTTTCTGGCTACCCAACACAGATAAAAACTGCAACGCAGACTAATTAAATTGTTCAGAAGAACAAATGTTTTAAAGCCGCAAGATTGACATAAAAACTATCACTGCGATCTTAACAACAACAGCGTCATTTAGGCATATTAATGTATCTAGAGATGGCTTGCCGGGAGAAACAATAAGAGGAAAGCCTTTTTTTTTTTTAAACCAGGCTTTATTTTATATTAAAACAAAAGAATTGTCGTATTACAAAGGGGCATATTCCTTTCCATGATTAAACATCGTGACATTGAAAATCGCCATATTGCTTTAATGGTGGCCAGTTGACAACTGCATGTCGAGGCTAAACAGAACAACGCGCTCATTGTCACAAGGACCACTGCTCTTCAAAGAAACCACAAAACTGAGACTGGCCCAGCTAATTCTCAATTAAGCGTTAATTAATTCGATGCAATGTCTCCAGCGTTGGCTGATGTTGTTACCGCTGTTTTGCAGCCAGGCGGAGAATGTACCACTTGCTAGTGTGGTTGTATCAGCAGCCGGTTTGTCATGTTCCCCATTATTGGCGCCCGTTCTGGCAATCTAGCCGACGATTAAGAAAGCAATTAATGAACAAAACAGACACGTGATTTGGAAAGCGGCCAATCACATGTTTTCAACTGTGAATCACATACAATGAAACACCAGATACTTCGACAGCCATTTCCTTTATGGTATTTGTCTTTTTTTTTTTTTTTTCGAGCTGTTTAGGGATATCAAAGGATTTGCACGGGAGATTACTTGAACAGCTGTCAGGAAAATGATTAGAGGCGCTGTTATTTATCCGTGAAACATTCACAAAGGTTCTAGAAGTGGTATATCCAATATCCGATCGCTTCTCTACATTGAGAATGTAACCGCGAAAGCAAATAGCTCTGTCTAAAGCACTTTATTTACACAGGCAAATGAAATCAGGTTCAATAAAATAAAATGTTTGCAAATGGGAAGAGCAAATAAGACGCAGACATGGAGAAACAATCAGAACACAAACGGGTTTTAAATCGAGTACAGTATACGTGAAAACAGAATTGAGAAACTCACTGCTTCCCGCAAAGAAAAAGTAATTGATAATTGCGAATAATACCCCCCAAAAAATGAGTTGGTAGGATTTTGTTCTGATTGTTTAATTTGTACTGGTTAACAAAAGATAGTGTAATGGCAAAAGGAAGGAAAAGGCGAGTAAGAGTATTGTTACACTCACCTCAAGCTGATTATTTCTATTGTAGTGAAGGTTAAGATGGCGGAACAATTCAGAATCGGCACTGACGATGAGGTCGTCCGCATGTTGGCAACCCTCGGCCATAGCCTGGCGGGCGTACTTCTCCATCTGGATGTAGAAAAACTCTCTGAAACAAATAATAGACGCATTACATCACGGCAAATTTCATTTTTCCATCGCTTCACTTAGACAAATTGCTGAAACCAGGGCCCACAATGACACAATGGCAGGCTTGGCAAATCTTCTACTGTCTACTGCAACAATTAAGCAATTCTGTGTAAAAAATAATTTCAGTGACAGACAATATAGGCGAGATGCATTAGAGCTCGTTCGTCTGTTTTGTTTCGTTTTTGCAGTTATTCTTTTTTTTTTTTTTTTTCAATTTAGTAAATGTCTTTTTTTTAATGATGACTAATATTATTCCTAAAATGTACATGCCACAGTGGGATATGCTGGTAAACAGTGATATAAACATTATCATAAGGTCACCACTGGAGGTCCCTCATCCCCCTTCTACCTCCAAACCCCTTTGAGACACCACTCGCCTCTGTTCTCGGACTTTTCAGTGATTGGCAAGAGGGTATAAAGGCCCCTTTTAATTAGGAATAGACATTCTCTAGAAAACTATTTATTCATACATTTTATACTACTTCAAGTATATCAATGTGTATTTTTTTCCCATTCATCACTTCATGATTTTTCTTCTTATTTTTCTTCTTCTTCTTCTTCTTCTTCTTCTTCTTCTTCTTCTTCTTCTTCTTCTTCTTCTTCTTCTTCTTCTTCTTCTTCTTCTTCTTCTTCTTCTTCTTCTTCTTCTTCTTCTTCTTCTTCTTCTTCTTCTTCTTCTTCTTCTTCTTCTTCTTCTTCTTCTGCTTCTGCTTCTTTTTCTTCTTCTTCTTCTTCTTCTTCGTCTTCTTCTTCTTCTTCTCTCCCCATCTTTCTCCTCCTCATCTTCTTCTTTTATTACTATTATTATCATTAATTATAAATAATTATTTAAAAGAAAATACAGTCAGAAATGAAATGCTAATGTATCATGCTAGGTGTAACAAAGAAAAAACGATTGAAGAAGAACGATGATATCAGAAGGTACACAACCAATACTGAACTTCATCGGTAGACATTAGATCAAATGGTGTGGCCATGTAACAAGACTGGCAACAGACAGCTCACCACAAGGAGCAATGTTATACAGATACAGCGGTAACAGAACCAGAGGTCGACCACACAGATCGTAGACAGAAGAAATTTCTAACAAGCACTACATGTGAAGCGAAAACAATGACACGTCCCTGAGATCTCTTCCTGCCATGATGTTGCGAGGCGATTCAGCGGTAGAGATCAGAAAAAGAGGTTTTTGTGATGTTATGAACGGTAAGTAAAAAAAAAAAAGTGATGTTGTCGAAATATTGTGAAATGTAGAAACGTATACTTTAAACACAGATTTATATAGATGTGTAAACGTATACTCTTCGTCGCCTTATACAACTTTGGGTGGGAAAATGGAGGGGGGGGGGGGGGAGTGGTGAACGCTCTATTTGTCTGGCCCCTGTGAGCATGTGTATGAGTGTGTGTGAGTGTATTTGTGTGTGAGTATGTGTGTGTGTGTGTGTGTGTGTGTGTGTGTGTAAAACTGTGTCAGGACAAGAGTTTTTATACCTATTTCCAGCCGACAGATCTAGGCCGCTTTCAGCGTGTAGAGGACCTGAACACGATTATATCAAACTGAAAAGTTTGAGCTCAATTTTTCCAAAGCATCTACGGCCACGACAAACGATATTACCACTTTTCACCCCCCCCCCCCTCTTCTTCCCCACAACCCCTCCCCTCCCAGCTGCAATGTCCAGTGTCAACTAGTATGGTATCGCGGCCAACCAACGATGGGAACTTGCCCTCTGACATTCCAGCAAAATGGCGTTCTCGCTGCCTTGTCACACTTGTCAGATATGTCTCATTTATACTTGTTCATTTATAATATTTCTCTTGTGACTTGTCTTCTGGTCTGACTTTTAAAGGTTAATATATTTGTGCCCTATTTGCAACTTGTTGTAGTTTGTTATCATCTGTGCGTATCTTGGCATATTCGGTAGGGGTTTTAATCCGATTCAGTGTTGATTATTTGCAAAATGTTATAATATTTTGAGATTTATATTGCATTTTGTCAGACGTTTTTAAGGTTTGAAAGTTATTTTACAGTTTATTCACTTAGGTCCTATATTAAATAGCAACGTGTATAAACTATACATTCACTGATTTTTTTATTTGTAATATTGTAAATATAATAAACTACACAAACACCCAGGTTTTTTATACTTATATTAAATACCATTTTGAAAATTACATAGCATACACTAAACAATAATTCAGGTCAGGACTAGTAAGTATCCTATATTATACATTCACCGAGGTCTCTCTATCATATAGTAAATAGCACGTACCATACAATCATTCAGTTCTTATAGGCAGGGTGTTTGTAAGGTCTCCCTAGACTTTTTAGGCAGAATAAATTTGTAAAACAAAGTAATTCACATCATTAAAAATGTATAAAAAGATATTAAATTAGTTACCATAGGTACTGCATTGATCTATCTAACACTATCTTGGAAGGGGGGAGGAGGGGGGGGGGGACGGAAGTCTATCTAACACATTTTTGGGAGAAGATGGAAAGCAACATTGAAATGTTCATCACGGGCTTTAAGACATGACTATACACGTTTCTTCATACTTTCTAATTCCTTCTGTAACATATCTGTTTTTATTTCGTGAATTGTAACTGTGATAAATCATTCTTCCGTTGATAACGCCATTCTGTTTTGAGTGCAAAGAATTACTCCAGGAAAAAAAACAGATTGTCACTGCAAACTGCTCTATGGTTTACCGTGGAGCACATTTTTGTGATCTACGTCATGTGCTTCGTTTTTCCCCATTTGTTCTACATACAAAGGGTAGTTTAACTTTACACACACCTTGTAATATTATACTAAGAAGTGTATACTATACAGCTATTCATGTGTTACACTCTATAGTAAAAAGCATATACTACAAATTCACGTGGGTTTTCTATCGTATAGTAAGAAGCGTATACTCTACATTCTTCAGCTTCTTCTTCGTTCACCGGCTGTGAGCTCCGGCGGAAAGTCCCAGTTATTCGTCCATTTGGAGTTAAGATACGTGCCAGGGCCTCCGTTGAGCGTATACAGCCATTTTACTGTCTTATTTCTGTACAGTTGGTTGTTCCTTGCTTCTCGGACAGATTCACTCCGAATTCGAAGGAAGCTCCAAATCAGTCGACTCTTACAACATGCTCTTTTGGGCCGGCAATAGGTCTATTCTTGTTTTCCCCAACAAAGGGGCCACTGAACCCACACAGAGAACTATATATTCTCATCGGTCTTATATAGAAATAGCACATACTATACATTTATTCAGGCCTTATATAGTAATATATAATATAACATAATCACTCAGGTCGTTTGCAGAGAAACAAGCTCAGACCTCTGACTAATGATTCTAGAATTCTCTCGGTGCAGGCAAGCTCTCCCTTACAACCTATTATCTGAAGTAATCATAAACACTAAATATCCCAATTATTAGCAACGCGAGTCTACATGTAAGAAACAACGTAAAACTATACTCAAGTGACAAGAGGGAGGGGGAAAATAGTAGCCAAGTGCTCATACACGTGCATCTTGGACTAGTGGAGATTTCAGGTGACATTTAAGTCCAGGAATATAGGGGTCGTTGTGGTGAAGTAGTTAACCAGTCAGTCTTTCGCTGTGAAGGTTATGGGGTCAATTTCGGACAACTGAGTTCGCATGCAGGCGTTAAGGACATCCTGTGGGTTGCTTTTTGGAGATAAGACTTTGAGGCTTTACTCCCTCCGCATTCGATCCAACGAGGCTCGGTCTCTCTTAGCAGAGCTGCTGTTGATCCTGACACAATCCTTATGGAATAAATTCGATTCTCTAGCCTCTTCTTCGTGTTAGAGTTCACCGCCTGTAATTCCAGCGAAAAGTTCTGGTTATTCGTCCACTTTATTTTACTTCCAGAACCTGAATTTTGCACGCACAACTATTTTACTGTTCTGGTTTATTTATTTGTAGACTGTTTGTTCCTTACCGCTAAAGCAAATATACCCCGACTTCGTAGGAAACACTCGTAATTAGTGACCTTTTACGACATGCTTGTTATGGCAGAGGATCTTATTATTTGTTCCCTCTAAGCAGGTTCCCGGACAATAAGATAGAATGACTTGGCTTGAGTTGGTTGAGGGCCTATCCCCCATTTAAGGATGACTGTCATAACGGGGGGGGGGGGGGGGGGGTGGAGACATACAAAACCATAGTGAGAGTAGAACTGTTATAAAGAAGTAACAACACTATTCTTTGCCTCGTGAGACCAACAAGATGCATTGCAGAAAATTGAGACGAGAAGGATGCATTGCACAAAATCAAGATACTGGGACGGATCAGAAATGACAATAATTGACTTAGGGTAATAATGCTGGAGGATCTGTTGTCTATTGGAGGGGAGGCAGAGGGAGACAGAGGCAAGAAGATGTTGGACAGTATACATGGTCTGGACGATCTTCTGTGTTAGAGTTGATTGAAAGTACAGGAGACAGAAGTTTGTGGATAGACATGACTACCAACGCCACACGGCATGGACTTTTAGAAAAAGATATGTTATAGTTAAATTATTATATATTTTGCATCGTGTCGATATACTTTCTCTGTTTCGCTTGTAAACGGTAATACAGGCTGGAAATATTATCCCAACACCATTCATTCTGCTGGCTTACTCGTGCTGACTAGCAAACGTTTTTCCAACGTGCCAGCTTGTCCTGGTGTGTTCTTATGCCATACGTTATTCCCGTATTTGGTTAGCTTTGTCAGTAAATAATTCCCTGGTGCTTTCTTCTAAACGCTGGCATACAGCCATCTAAAGGTCATCGGAACATTTTTGTACTGAAAGGCAACCTCACAGAAAGCAGCGGGTCCAGAAAATTGGCCCATCGCTCCTTTGTAAGACAATGAGGGAGGGGAATTAGAGTCCTTTTGAGGGATTGCCTGGCATTTCGGTTCCGGTGAAAAGCCTGGGAACTCTGGGGATAAATGGGCGATACAT